TGCGACAGACTGGCGACCTGTCCAGGGTGTACCCCGCCCCTCGCCCTATGACAGCTGGGATAGGCTCCAGCGCCCCCCGCGACCCTGAAAAGGATAAGCGGAAGTGAATGGATGGATGGATGGATGTGAAAGATATTGTGCCACGTAGCCTTCCCCACTAAAGGGGAAGTTGTGGTTATCTACTTTTACAAATCAAAACTTTTACGTTTAAAATAAAATGAATAAATGTGACAATAAATATCACAAGTTACAAATTCGGTTTGGATGATGAGAACAGTAATATAACAGTAAAAACAATTATAAAATTTCCCTCAGTGTATTGATTGCATGACTTTTACTTATTACCACGACTGTAAAAACTCCCTGCAACACAGCTTACAGTAAAAACTGTTTGAAAGAGAATTTGAATTTACCACATGTGCTAATTTGTATGTGCTGACATTCAAATTCTGAATAAGTAGTTCTTTATTGACAAACTCTGTGCGAAGTGTTTGGAAACATTACTATGTAAAGACCTCTAGCTAACAGTGTTAGCTAAAAATTCAAGACCCTATAAACCTTTACGTTTGGATTTAGAAGCAGTTAAAGGGTTTTATTGTTAAACCAGAGACTTTCAGCGGGAGAGGTTTCCTCTTGTCTTGTTTCTATTGTAGTCGATTATCTTGTTTTCATCATAAAAAAAACAATAAACTAATACCTTAAATGCATTGTCTGCAAAATAAATACTTGTCATCATCCATAGCTTTCATTAGCAGAAATTAATGCAATTTAGAGTTAGGCCTTTGTCATTTATCAAATGAATACATTAATCCTTCTATTCTCCTCGGATATTACTAACATATTTTACAATAGTTTCCTCCAGAATAAATGTTTGTGTCATGCTCTTTGTTTACTTATTGAATACATAAATAGCCCCTTGATAATGACACTCCAGGCTTATCCAGGCTTACAACGGGCAATGGCATAGTTCAGCTGAGTTTTGTTTTTTTGTTTGTTTGTTTTCACCAAAGCCATTATGTGGCTATGACCTTTGGCCAGGTTGTCTCATTATAGTCTAGCACCCTTTGTGTTTTTTTTTTTTGTCTTCCCTGGTGCTCAGGGCAGCATCTTTGTGCTGAGCAGCAGGACATTGTTCCTTTCCTTGGGGCAATAAGAGACTAGAGTTGCTTTTTCAGTGAAGGAAAACACTAAAGATGTTACCTTCCTGTTCTTGACAGCAAGACGTTCAGAAGAAAGCTCTGGCTTGTTCCTTCTCACTGTCCCCAACATGGTAACTTTCCTTTTGAGCAATTCTTCATCCAAGGCACAAGATGTGAAAAAAAAAAATGAACACGTGATATTATGCCCATGCAGGCCTTCAGCCAAATACCATTTTTTGCCCTGTTTTTTCTGGTTCTTCACCAGGGCATCCGCCTCTGTAAACTTGCATATTCAAGGCAAAGCTAGACTGTGCATCACATGCTGAGCAAATGGCCCCTTTTTTTGTCCCATTTGGTTCTTTAGCCATCAGAATTGTTACCTGAAGGCCAGCAAAGATACCCAACGGATTTACTTGGCCTTGCCATATTGGTCCATTTGATCAGCCTTTGTTATTTTTTTATTTTATTTTAGTTTTAGTTGTTACAGACATGGTGGGGGGATAGGAAAGGGAGAAAGAAAGAGGAAGGAAAAGAAAAACAGAGGAAGAGGGACAGTGAGAAAGGACACTTAAAATGAAAAAAAAAAAACCTCTCCTGGATCACATGTTGAGAGAAAAAAAAAGAAAAAAGAGAAAACAAGCAAAAAAAAGGTATTTAATTGAGAGCTCAGTGAGAACTCTGCTGACTGTCTGTCCCGCGGACATGCAGGGGCTCCATCAAGCTTGGTTGTCTGTTCTTTGTGTGCTTTGATTAAAGAATGTTAGCTATCGCTCACTGCTCGTCTGCAGGCTTTATTTAAATGGAAAACTTCCACAACACATAGCTAAAGCAACTTGGGTCAAACTGACCCCAAAGGAACAAAATGTGCACAGCTCATTAAAAGACATATCACAAAGAGTTTATGCTTAATCTGTTGTCCCCATACTGAATGTCTAGGCGTATGATTCCTTGTGTTATGTCCCACCAACCAAGGTGGAGGCAAAGGCAGGGAGGAGACAGCAACACCAGACCATCAAAATTAATGAAGGAGAACAACAGGAAAGTTAACAATTAGGCAGGATTTATTGATTGTTTGCCTTGGCAGCCAAACTTAACAAAAAATAAAAAGGTGGGGGAGGATGACTGGGCGGTTGAGCCAATTCAAAGAAATTAATAAAACGAGAAGAGGTCAATAGTTTCCCTGGGCCTAGATAAAATAAAGTGCAAACCAAAAAGGCCTATCTAGCTACTCGACAAAAAGGTTAGTAAATTTCCCCTTGTGGGCGATATAAGATTTTTTCATATCACGATATGTTTTTTTCATTTCAGGCGATAACGA